TTTTCTGAAAGGTAAAACTGCCTGCAGCTGAACACTCAGAGACTGGCTCTTTTCCTGGTCTTCAGAGACACATCACATACATCAAATATATGTTATAGTTTATTGTGAATATTTTATTTCATTCTTAGGATTGGAGGAATGCTGTGAATATAAGTGTTTTTCTATATTCTTCTAGAGCAAAGCCAATTCATAGTTGCAAAAAATGTTCTAGGCTGATCACTAATCTGTGTATATATGTTTGTGTTTTCAGATAGCCTACAAATATTTTTATTTCTCAAATTAAAATAAAGTACTACTTCGTGAATTGTGCTTTGTTTGGTTTTGCAGACAGTCTCAATATATAGTTCAGGCTGTCTTGAACTCACTAGATAGCTCAGCCTGGCCTTGAACTTGCAATGATTCTCCTGCCTTGGCCTCCTGAGGGCTGGGACTACACACATGCATCACTCTGCCTGGCTAGATTGTACTATTTTTCCTATCAATTTTTTTTCAAAAAAGTCTCACTCAGTGTAATACCAAGTAGAATAAAATGATGGCTTAATACTCAGCCCATACTAGAATGAAATACAAAAAGCAATTTTCTGATCCTGTTCAGGTACTGTGGACATCATTAATTCCTGATAAGGGAATTAATGCATTATTATACTCGTTTTCAAAGTTACATTTCCACAAATGTCATTTGGCTCTCTTGAGGCAACATATAACCATTCAGAAAAAGCAGGATGCCATGCAAACATTTGGTTTCCTTTACAGCTAAAGCTCATATAATATATATATATATATATATAATATATATGTATATATATTATATATATATATATATATATATATAGTCTTTATTGTCATAATGTGTTCTTTGGTTCATTGATTAGTTGGCAACTCAACTACTTGCACCAAGAACCAGTTCATCTTTCAAAAGAAAAATATTTTCTCTGAAGCTCTGGCTCAAGTTTTGAAGTCAGAGGTGTATTACACCTATGAAGAGCATAAAACTCTCAAAGAAACATAACTTCTGATTTCTATTTCCTTATATTACATATATTTATAACACAGGAAAATCCATCTGGTCAACGTAGAAGACTGTCACAAGAAAAGTCAACAGCACAGAAGCATGTTAATGAAGTAAAGGTAAGTGGAACTCACATCTCTTTCAGACAGTTTATCTTTTTAACATGGTACTGGTCATTATCTAGCTTTAATTACAGGATCAAATTACTTGGCAAACATGTATTGTTACTTATTCTTGTCTGCTCCGTCCCAATCCTTGTTTGTGATCCAATCAGACAAGAGCACTTATTTCAAAACAGAGAAATTCTGCCACCTTCCTGAATTCACTGTGCTACAAGGAGGCTGCGTACAATTTTATGAATGAAAATCTTTATCAAGTAAGGACTTTTTCCTCTTCTTCCTTTCTTCCTTCACATGTAAAGACAGCTGCACGGAGGACAAAAATGTACTTGAAACGATGTCGTAAACATCTGCACGACAATCTAGAGACTGCCGATATTCCAGCATGTGCAGCATTGTTCAGCTACCAAAAAGACAAAAGCTTTTTTGATCCACAAGTTGCTTTTTACTTTTTTTTATAGTGTCAACCTGGCCAGACAATAAATAACACACCTAATGGCAAAGAGATGACTTACAAGAGTGCATGGAAGTACAATGACAGGCAAGAGAACCCATCAGAGGCAAAAAGAACACAGGCAATTAGGGGAAAGTACATCCTAATCTATTTTAAAATTTTATGTTCCTGAAAAGTGCACAAAAAGTCTTCTGCTTAAATGAACAGTTGTACACAAAATCTGCTCCCCTGTGAGTGTGTGAACTGTCCATTTTTCCTTTTAACTCAAAATTTATTAAGCACCTATTTTGGGCTCAGCATTATTTAAGTATAGAATGACCACAAGCTAATCCCAAATGTACTCTGGGATTAGTTGTTAATTATAGGTGTTATCTCCCTTAAATGCAGCTGTTGTGAAATGCATGAAATGGACAGTTAAGGAAAAATAGATATTTTATAACAGCCCTGGGAGTCATTATAAGTGCTTAAAGCAGCAAAAGCAAAAACAAAACAAAAACAGCTCTTAGAAGTAGAGTAAAACATGCACTCACCCCCTCTAGTCTAGCATTATTATCAATACTTTCTCCATTTCTTTTAGTGTATTTGGCACAGGGTCTCAATACGCACCTGGGACTCATAGTGACCCTCCTGTTTTCAGGCTCCCCAGTGCTGGGATTACAGGCGTGGGCCACCACACCAGGACTTGGTAATAGACTCATTGTGCCCAGGAGCCAGGCCGGTGTGGCATGCGGTGCAGGGGATCATCTTTCTCCATTTTTAATGACAAACCATTCCCTTTATGTTTTCATACAGGATCTCCAACGCCATCACTGTAAGTGTGGCACAATGGTAACTACCAAAATATCCTCCTATTATTTTCAACACCCATTTACCTTCTTGGTTCTGGCCCCGAGCTTCATTTTTTTCACTTGAAACATGACAAAACGGAAGCATTTGGTCCAAATTGTTCAGCAGCAAGTCAGTACATCCAGGAACAAAAGCAAAGCTTTTGGAACTGGGACCTAGGTATGCAATCGCTACCAAAGTAACCAGTTGCTTTTGGCCACGCTGCCACTGCAAAAGTGTAATCTATCGCTTGGCCTGAAGGAATTCCCCTTTGACATGGGAAGCACTGAATTGTCCCATATGTTTCTGTTGACAATAATCTAAAAAGCAGAGGTGAAATTTATTATATAATGAATTCCATTATGAGAAGTTCAGTTCTTTGTATGTAGGTAGACTCCAGCCAGCATCTGGATGGCAACTACATTTTGCTTCAACAACCTCCTCCTCCCCTTTCCAGACACTTGCTAAACTTCGTAGCAGAAATGAATGCTGGCCAACCATATCACTTCTTTGCGTTGGGAGAAGAAAGTGATTGTGCAGAGATGGAATATTAGCCTGGCTATGGGCAAGAACCCACTCAAGCTATGTTTGGAGAAATCTTATAAATATGAAAGCATTCCCCAGAAGGATTGCAAATATAAAAATTATTTTAAATACTTTTAAAAGTATTTAAACTTTGACTAAATTTGCATTGGTAAAAGAGAAAAATGTGAAAATAATCAGGAATAAAATAGAAGGGTCTCTGGTAAACTTCATTGTCAATATGCCTTTGACCAGATGGGATCAAAAGCACAGACGAAGTGTATTCCACATTGACGAATACTCATTTGTACAGTTACATCTACAATCTGCCTTCCACCCATTATATCAGTAATCATCCAAAAACTTACTTAGTAACTCAGGGTGCCTGCATGGGGGAAAATTAGCAATCACTTCAAAATTAAACCTTGCAGTAGTTTTGTTTTAATTTATGGTTTTCCGTGAACTCTATTCACGCATATGGAGAGGCCATGGGGGATCTGAGCCCAGTTGACAAACGGCAACTTACGACTATCTGGGAGAATAAAAGAAAAAAGAAAACTCCAAAATACATTTCTTTAATTAGACCAACAAAAAACTTAATGTATTGTATATATATAGATATATGTCAAACAACAAACCATGCAGAAAACACACAGTAGGTCTACCATAATCATTATAAAATTACATAATCACCTAGGCGCCAGCTTTCATCATTCTCCGGGGCTTAGTTTCATTTTTTAAACCATAAAAGCGAACTGTGTGCTGAAATCTAAAGTCACCTTTTGAATCTTGTACAATTCCCCGTCCTGCCCCTCAGACCAGGTAGTAAAAGCGAGCTGCCCGAACGTGGAGATCTAGTGGAAATGGGGAAATGAGTTGTAGCATTGCTGATGATGTGCCAGGCAAGAAGTTCCTTTAAATTAATAAAGACGAAAAAAAAAAAAAAAGCAAAAGGAAAAAGGAAGGAAGACGGGGAAGAAGGGGAGGACCAATGCTCGAAAATCGCAACAAAGTTCCAAGATCGATTTTCTTCTATTCCTGGTTTGGGAAAATACAGTTTAGGAGGCAGCGCATTTTGCCGGCGTCCCCGGGAGGCAGGCACCCTGGCGAACCCCAACTCCTCTCCAGCCTTACCTTGTGCTGCTGGCGCAAACCCCGAGCCTAAGGGCCCTGCTCTCGGAGGCGGCGGCAGCGGCGGCGGCGGCGGCGGCGGCGGCGGCGGCGGCAGTGGCAGCGGCCGTGGCAGTGGCACAAGCCATCTGTTAGCGGCAGAGGCAGCGGCGGCGCCGCGCGCGGTGGCCCCTGCGCGGAGAGCCTTCAGCAGGGCCGGCTACGGAATGCCGCCATTTTACAGCGCGGCTCGCGAAATCGTTAGATATAAGCAAATTCGAGCCCGCCCCACCTCCAGAACTTCAGCGCTGGGACGTGCTACCCGGCTCGGCCGGCTGCGGTGGGGTAGAAAATGTCAAGTCTAGAGACACGCACACCGGGACTCCGGGCGGAGGCGACCGTCCCTGCGCTGCCCTCTCCCCCGGCCACCCCGCGCTTCTGCCAGCTCCCTGCGGCCCCCCCCCGAGGAGACAGCGACTACAGAGCGGAGCTCCAAAGGGTCTCCCCGCCCGGGCCGGCTGGCGGGCGGGGGGCAAGATCTGGGCGCCGGCGCGGCCCTCCCCTGCGCCCGCGCGCGCTTGGTTCAGTCCACTCGGAGCACACCTCGGGGCGCCCCGGCTCCTGGCGGCGGGCGTGGGGCTCCCGCCCCGAGAGCGGCTGCCATGGCAACTCGGCCCAAGTCCCGCCTGGCCCTGCCAGGGGCGCACCCCGCGTCCCGCCCGGCGCCCGCGGCAGCGGTGCCCTCCAGCGTCCGCGGCTGGCCAGTCCGGGCCCCGCGCCCGGCACACGGGCGTGCGACGAGCGGCGCACGAGGGGCTCTGGGCGCCAAATCGCAACTCGCGCCAAACTTGCGGGCACCGGAGCGCGCGAGCGGAGGCCGCTCCGGACTCCGGGTCCCCCCCCCCGCCCCGCCTGGCCGCCAGGTAGCGCCTCTCGCTCCGCTCCGCATCGCCAGCCTCACCTGGCTCGCGCCGCTCCGGCCCGGCTCCCGCTGCCCGGCGGGGCGACCTGGGCGCTGCTGCCCGGGCTCCACGCCCGCCCGGGACGCCGACCTCTGCCGCGTTCTAGCCGCTCCTGAAGAGCGCCAAAAAGTCGCGCTCCGCGTTCGGGCACTTTCTTCCTGTCGGTCACTCTGTGCTCGCGAAATATATACTCTTTGTGTGGCTCGTTCACTCGTGCCGAGGTTTCTGAGAGAGCGCGCGGCGCGGGCTTTATTCTCAGGGGGTGTGGCGCCTCGTCCCCAAAGCCGCGGCCCAGCCCCCGCCGCGAACGCCTGCTGTCATTTCGCTCTGGAGAGGAGGGGGGCAATCGTGACGCTCAGGTTAGACGGAAACGAAAACAAACGGAGCTCGCACGCGGGGCGGGGGCGCCGCCAAAGTTTCCAGAGCTTCGGGAATGGCAGTGTGGAGGAAAGGCAGAGGGGTGCAAGGCTGGGAGCTTGGAGGCTCTCCAGAGCAGGTGAGGCGAAAGAGGTGATTCCCAAAATGACTTTCGTCCACAACTACATCAGCGCATTGTAAGTTGAAGAAATACCCGCTGTCTTTCTGGGTTCTCTCCCTTCTAAAAATGTCCCAATCTTTTTCCTGTAAGAATTTCGTCGAGGAAAATGTTCAGCAGTACAAATAGTTCCCATCCAACAGAGTTACAGGGTAGGAGGGACACTGAGGTAAGCATCCGAAGACTTTTGATTTGAAAATGGACAAAGCAAATGCAGTTTTACATTTGATTACAAAGTGTGCATCTGCGAAGATGAATTATAAGTTTCAATTTAACGCAAGTGCAATATCAGCTCCAACTGTCCTTTAATTGGAGTCCCGCAATAATAAACGCGTGGTTTTATTTAATTTTATGAGGACGATCGCAGTTGATAACAAGCCCGTATGCGCGATCATCAGACGGAAGCTTACAGCAGTTCATGGCTGCTTTCTTGCGATCAACTGCGTTACCTGAGCACTCTGCTCTCCAAGCTCTATAGAAAGTGCGAATCGGTGCAGGGATATTTAAGCAGCTGTAGTTTGAGGAGCGGAGTGAATTCTCAGGCTAATTCTCCTTGTTAATTCTGCTAGACGGAATCAAATACAATTCTCCAGCTAATTTTAGGCAAGAAATCAGTCGTCGTTTGTTGAGTTCAAAATAATAGCAGGAGGATCATAATGCTACGGAGAAGACTGGGGAAAACTGCCCTTCACCTAATTGAGAAAATCCCCAATGGCGTTTGGCAAAAGCTGGAAAAGTGATCAGAACGATGTGCATGGACAGTGTGTTCCACTTTGTGATTATGGGTGAAATCCTAGCAGACGTCAAAAAGAGCAGGAATTTCTGATTATCTCACTAATTTCTAACCACCTCTCTGTGTCTGCCTTCCTTCAGACTGGCCAAATTACCCGCCCTACTTTAAAAGTCAAATTTGTCTGACATATCGGAAGTGGCTTTGGCAGTCCAGGAACTACCACAGCTAAAAGTAGGAGGTGTTGGCTACCACAGGAGGCTGGAGGGAAGGGCAAGGCTGAATTATATAACTTATACCCAATCATTTAACAAATGTGGATCTGTTATCACCAGGCATCAACAAAGGAGTCTTTATATTAAACATAACTTGGGTCAACACCAGCATTCTTACCCCTGTCCACCATTGCAAGCCACATCTCCCGTGGGACACTCCGGGTTTCCCTAATAACACACCAACTGGCTCAAATTTATTGTTCTTGAATTGCTGAAATACCTGTTTTATAATCGGTGTAAGGCAAATGCTAATTCTTGGAATAGTACAGCTTCAACATTTTCTCTGCTTTGAAATTTCAGGGTAGTGAAAATTGCAAATGAGGCTTTATCATTCTCTCTCCAGTGGGGGGAGGAACAACCTTATAAACAAATTTGAGCCTACTAAACTATCTTCCTTTTATCTACAGTGTCCTGACCTCCACAAAAGGCGCTAGGCAGATTTCCACGTCACCGAGCCACTGGGGAGTCTTTGCAAAGGCTGAAGGAAGTTGTTGTTCCCTCCCCTCAGGGTTCATTCGCTCTCCGTGGTGGACTCACCTAAGAGCTGCTTTCCACCTTACTAGAGAGCTTAGAACTACCCAACATTTTCTTTTCTGCTCTTCTCTTTAGGTGTGATTAGGGGCATGACCCAGAAAAAATAGGGTTGTGTACTGACGAATAGGATACGTGAGTTCTTCCTATAATGTATGTATGTTGTCTTTCTGTATTTATTCCTGTGCCTCTTTTGCATTGTAGGATCGTCTCAGAACCACTAACCTAATGGATCTTTAAAGAGCAGTGTCTTGCAAAACTTGGATTTAAATCATCACTCCTGCCGCTCCCCACCAACAACTCAAACAGAGACATGTAAGGGAATTTTAAAAACATTTTGGGAGCATTCTTCCTGACCTCTTGCATTTTAAAACTCTAAACTGACAATTATGCATAAAATGTAAGGGTAATGCTCAGGTAAGAATGTAGTAGCCTTGCAAGTAGCATTGTTCTTCCAATAAAAAATAATTAACTTTGACTGATGCAGGAAAGAATTCTAGAAGTTATATAATGGTTTAGTAACAAAAGGATTGTTGTAATCTACCACCAAACAAATATTGCTGTGTTTTAAAAGATGCTGGATAGGTGAAAAGTTAAACTGTCTCATGTTCTTGCTATATTAGATTAGTATTATCTTTTCATTCCTCTCCTAAGCCACATAACTCATTTATTATTTTCTTAGATAATGAACCTGTGCTATTGGACATGGACAAATGATAAAGACTCTCCCTTCTGATTGAAATCCATGGAAACATTCTCATTACCTTAATGGAACAGCACCAGCACTATGTGCTGCTCCTCTTGCCTAGAGATGGCCCTGCAGCCTGCTGCTTCACAGTGACATTTGTAAGCACTTCAGAAAGCAGCCTGTGGCCAATAAAGGGTGGTTCAAGAGCTACAGACATTATTCATTATTCATTCATTCCTGAAAAGCTTTTTTCATTCATGGTCGGGAATTTGTAGTTTGAGGTTTACACAAAGATTCCAGCTAAAGAAACAGAAAATAAAAGCAGGAACTGGTTGTTAAAATTTTTTTTTGAAATTAAAGGATGTTGACTTCCAAGGTAAACCCCTGTAAAATGGGGGCAGACACTTCCTACAGAAAAGAAAAAGAAACCTAGTAACTAACAAAATGCTCAAAGAATTGCAAAACTAAGTAGTGAATTGAAGAATTATCAGGTTGTCAAGAAATTTTCTGAAATTCAATGTATTCTTAAAAACTTAGACAAAAATTGTCAGAATTATCTGGATATATACAAATAAAAAGAGACAAAAACAGGACAAATTTTAAAGAACTACATCTTCCAAAACACACTGGGGCCTGCTGGATTTGCAAGGCAGTCTTCCTGAATACTTCGCAAAATATATTGTAAGAATTATCCCAGACTATTGAAGTGTGGTATATGTCTTCAAATTATCCTCCAAGGCAAATGTGATAGTAATGATACAGGTAAAAATGATATAGAAAGATAAGAATAATACAAAAGGTAAGAACACTATAAAAAAAGAAGTGAGGCCCATTCTCACTTAAGAACTATGACAGAAATCACTTCATGTGAGACTTCTCCATACCAGGCCCTTGTTAGCTCACTGAGTTGTCACAACAGTCCCTAAATATGCATCATGATGCCCTCCTGCTAAAAAATGGTGAAATGACTCTTGTCCACAGTGACAGAGTAACAGCGCTACTATAGAGCAGAACAAAGATTCTAAAGCAGCTTCCTCTAGCACCAGGCCCCACACTTAACTTTTGCCCATACTAAATAAAACTATAGTGGGGTCAAGCTGTGTTTGAGCTCCAACACCCACCTGTGCCATCCTGCATACCATCTTGGCTCTCATTGATGTGGGCATATTAACTAAATGCTACCAGTGAAATACAGAAATTTATTAAAGTAATTTTAAAACTTGATTAAATATGATTTATTCCAGGAATGTAAAGAATTTCAACAAAAATGTTAATTATTTTTTCTGCAGAACAGGGGATTGAACTCAGGCTTTTGCGCTTGCCAGGGAAGCGCTTATTCTACTGACCCATCTCCCTGTCCCCCAGAAAAAATGTTAATATTATTGAAAAAATATATGATCATTCCAAAATATGAATTTGGTAGAATCTATTTCCTACTTTGTTTTTCTTCTTTCTTTCTTTTTCTTTCTTTCATTTTTAGAAACAGGGTCTCTTTATACAGTTCAGATGGGCCTTCAACTCACTGTGTGGTCATGACTGGCCTCAATCCTGGGGTGATCTTCCTGCCTCAGCCTCCCTAGAGCTGGGATAATATGCCTGGGTTACCCTGCCAAGCTAGTTCCTGCTTCCTATGTATGCAGAGCTAGGAATGGTGAACTATACATTTAACATGGTAAAGAGCACGTATTCAAAATACAAAAAAAAATCTAAGAATTGCCTACCTATTGAAAAAAGTCATTTCCCCCAAAAGCTGAAGCAATCATTGCTACTTTAGTGTTTTTGAGCAATTCCTGTTTGGGCAATAAGGCATTACATTAAAATAAGTGCTCATAAATACTGGAAAGGAAGAAGTCAGACAGAATTTTTTTTAAAACTATTTTTGCAGAGCTGTTTAAGTCCAAAGCAAAATTGAAAGAAAAATAGAGAGATTTCCCATGAAGCCCTGCCCCCATTTCTGCACCACCTGGCCCAGCCTCTTATTAAGGTTCCCCACCAGTGTGGTAGATAGTGAAAATTGATAAATCATCATTAATACCCCCAAATCTCCCAATCCAGAGTTTTCAACAGAATCCCCTTGGGTGGTAAATAGTCTATGAGTTTAAATAAGTAAATAATGACATATGTCTATCACAGTAGTATCAATCATAGTAGTTTTTCTGTCCTCAATTCTAAATTAAATAATTTTTACACCTTAATGTTTTCAATCCATTTTTCCCCTCCAGTCACTCCTTTTCTTGTTCTCTCATTTGAAAATTATCTCCCTACCTCCTATTTGTCTTCTCCCTCTTCCCTGCTCATTCTAATCAGTAAAAGGAGCAATGAGAACAGGAAAAAGACCTAATAAATGTAAAAACTAGGTTTTTTAAAATTACATATTTGATGAACAAAGCATAACTTAAACAATGGAGAAAATATCTATTAAATTTACCTCAGGTAACTAGTCATGAA